GCTACAACAGGCAGCCTTTCAAGAGCAAAGCCTACCAGGGGCCACAACCCCACAGCACAAAGATTGTAAAGCTCTGAACTGCCAGTACTGAGCCAAAGAATTAAGGAACAGAGGAAGGGGGCAAGTTACCAGGACAAGACACTGTGAATGTGAGGAGCTGTGCAGCATTCCACCATGCCTGAGGAAAGAGCACAGCGTCCGGCTAGGGCCAGTTCTGACCACCCAGAAATCAACTGAGGCAGAGACCTAGGCTGATGAACTTTGAATTGCCCAGCCTGGGAGTTGGCTTGAGACAATGAGATCTAGCCCCCCAGTGAAACCATAGAGGGAAGAAAATAAGCAAGAAGGGAAAATAAGGGAAGTTGGGTAACTGGGTAAAGAGACAGACTGAAATTACCAAAGGCTTAAGGAAGAAGAAAATTCAAAGACTTTGAATATAAGCAAATAAATCAACAGAGAAAATAGTATCAACAGAAGGAAATATGGCCTTCACAGCAAAAACTATGGGCAGAATAGAAAAACTGAAATTCGCAGTGGAAAGCCTTACCAAAGAAACAGAAGAGAAAACAATAGATTGAGAATACAAGAGAAGCAAAAAACAAAACAATAACATTAAAAGAAAATATGCTAACTGTGCAAGCAATACATACCAATCTCTGCAACAGGGTGCGCAGAGACAATCTGGAGAGCGTAGGTCTCTTGGAAGAATACGCCTTGGAAGAAACTGTAGAAAAGAATTGCCCAGACCTTCTCAACATAGAAGAAGAAATACCCATTGAAAGAATTCACAGATAGCCTCTGGAAAACAAATAAAAACAGGGCTGCAAACTCCAAGACATGTATTGGTTAAGTTTAACAATTCAGTTTGAGTAACAAGTTCTGCAGGTAATCAGAAGAAAGACCTTCAAATACAAATGAAAGAAAACTCAGATAACATAAGACTATTCTGCCCCCACGATAAGATGTAGGAGGCAATGAAATAATGTGTTCCAAAGAGTAGTGGAGTTCAAGATGCTATCCATGGTGACCCATCCTGAAAATCTGAAGTTAACTATACATGAAAAAAAAAAAGATGGACATTCATAATGAAGAGGTATTAGAAATATTTTTCAAAAGAAACCTAAAACTGAAGAGATTATTTGCTTCTTAAATGCCCCAAACAGCAGAAAAGCAAGAGTGAGTAAGTGCAGCGGGTAAGGACAGCAATAGCAGCAGTGACGGCAGAGACACCAGTAAGAGACATCTTTATAAATGTACACAAGATGGCAGGACGCAGTGAAGGACAAGTGGCCACAGTGAAGACGTAGACGGGGGGCATTATGGCCAGAACCTGGTGATACCCTGACTACAAGCAAATCAGTTTTGTTTTGTTTTGTTTTTAATGGGACTATATTATAACAGGGGAAAGTACATGAAAGGGGGGTGGAGAGAAGAGGAGAGGACGGACTATGTGCTGAGATCAGATCAAAAGCTAGTAACAAGGAGATGTGACTCCTATGGCCTCAGACAGAGAAGACTGCAGGGGGGAGTGGGGGAAGGACTGAAAAGGGGAGGAAAGGAAGAAGAGCTTACTTTCTTGGTGGGAGGGTGTTCTACTGATGAATGCTTCAGTGGATGAAGACAATGTCTGTGAAGGATGGCTGTGTCTTAGGGGAGTTTGTGTTTGAAAAGTCCGTTCATCTTGTATGGGGAAGGAGGTTAGTTAGAAACTCTGGGAGCAGCTGGACCCAGGAAGGAGAAATTTTGAGGCAAATGGGAAAAGAAAGGTAACTGGTGATGTGGGAGGATACAAATCAATGACAGGCTGCATAATCAGAGATCGAGGATTGAGGTAGCATGGGCTAGTGTCCTCTCTGACACTTGTACTAATTGGCATTATTCTGGGAGTGAGGCACAGTGGGAAAGGGGAATCCATGGGGTAAGTTCTACAAGACAGTATCAGAAACTGCCTAGCAAGGAGATCCTAGAATGAGTACCTTGGAAACTTTGATTGGTTGTGGAATACAGAGAAAAGAAGGTGATCAAACAATTATAGGCGATAGGTACCAGAGAATGCGGGTCTAGGGGTACAAAAAATGAAATTTAAAAAACTATTATACAAGACTAGTTGAAAGAGAAGAGAAAGGGGCAATCTGTGTGTCTAATTGGGAGGGGAAAGTGGGTAGAGAATTATTAAAATAGATAAAAGTATGAAGGAAAAAGGAAGTAAAGCAGTAAGCAAAAACCCAAAGGGAAAAGGGTAACAAAGGAGAGGAGATGAGGGGAAGAGACCCAGTGGGAATGGAGCCACCTTAAAAAAAAAAGAGAAGGTTAATAAGGTAAGATGACTGAAGGAACATAATCCTTGTTTACAGCAGAAGAGGAAAAAATATGTATGTATGTATGTATGTATATGTATGTGTGTGTATATATACATGTATGTATGTATGTATGTATGTATCTTGGGGAAAGCCCAATATTAGAGACAGATGGAGGAAAATATAAACCCAACTCATATGAATGGACTAAACAATACAATAATTTGGAAAAAAGCGACAGATTGTATAAGAAAACAAAAGTCTACAATCTGTTGCTTACAGGAAACACATTTAAAAACAAACATATACACAAAATAAAACTGAGGGGATGGAAAAAAATTTGCTATTTATCAAATTAATGCAAAAAAGTAGGATTTGCAATCATGCTACCTGACAAGCCAGAAACAAACATTCACAATTTTTTTTTAAGATAAAAAAGGAAACGATTATGCTGAAAGGAACCATCAGGAAAGAGACCTTAGAGGTCATCTAGTTCATCCCCTGTGTTTTAAAGATGAGGAAACTAAGGCCTGGGAGAAGTGACTTGCCCAAGGTCATAAATGTAGTTAATTGACAGAGCAGAGATTTGAACTCATGTCCTGTGACTCCAAGTCCTGTTTTCTCACTGTGCCACATACCATGCAGCCTTCTGGGAAGGCTAGCAGTTCTGACATAGTCATCTTCCATGTGGACCAAAGGGAAAGTTACACTTCTGGGCTGCAAAGTGAGAGAAGAATGCATCTTAATGAATTTTCCCTGGAAAAAGAAAATTTATCCCACTACTAAAAAGTAAAGTTTCTTATATGTGTATGCGTGTATGTAAATATATATGTGTGTGTATATATATATATATATATATATATATATATATATATATATATATATACACACACACACACATATGTATGTATAGATATGTATATGTATATATTTATTGAGATACTAATAATAATATTTTGTTATGAAAAATATATTTATGTAGTAGAAAGATGTCAGAATTAAGAATCAGAAGATTTGGATTCCAATCTCATCTCTGTTACTTTAGAACCTGTATAACTGTGGGCAAGTCATTTGACCTCTCTGAGCCTCATTAGTAAAGCAGTAGGGTAGGACAATTAGCCTCTTGGTCCTGAGGGACCTCCAGGTCTTTTCTAGAACATTATCCTTTTATTTTTTCACATCTTGGTGATTCAGGTAAGACGCAAACCAGACTTGTCTATCTTAGAGCATACCACTAGGAAACAGTACCCCTCACATTGTAAAAGTTAAAGCATATTTTTGTCCAAGCGTGGGCAGTATTCTTTACCCTAAACGATTTCCAGCCATACAAGCAAAATTTTGGAGGTTCTTTAAAATTCAATTTCATGTAAGCCATATCTGCCTGTAATACTGTACAATATGCACTACTAAAACAGCAACAGGAAAATTGGGCATTCTGCCACCAAATGTTATTTGAACCAAGAAAAAGGCAAGAAATATACAATTAATTTTAATTAAAAGCCTGCATCAGTTCCATATGTTAAGATGATGGATTATGATAACATCCTTGAAAATACTGTAGTAATATAGTATATAGCATATATGTACTACAGCATAGTAGAGTCCAGTAAAGTGTAGTATTAAAGTATAATATATATAGTAAAGTATAGTTAGTAGAATGTAGTAGAGTATACTGTATAGTATTAAAATATAACGTAAAAGCATAGTATTGTGCTGAAGTATAGGTATTGTAAAGTATAGTGTAGTGTAATAGTAAAGTATAGTATAATGTAGTTTAGTAAAGTGTAGTATGGAAAGGTATAGCATAATAGTAAAGTGCAGTATAATGTAGTTTCGCAGTGTAGTAAAGTATAGTAAAGTGCGGTGTGGTGTGGTGTGACGTGGTGTGGCGTGGTGTGGTGTGGTACGTGTCTTTGTTGCCACAGAGCTTTCTGGAGTCCAGATCTCAGAAAGTCATATCATTGTCTCTTGCTCTTTTGATGGCACGGCCACAGGGACTGTCCACAAGAGTAGCTTGGACTTGCTAGGTGTACAGCTGGCCTAGGGAGGCTCACAGCTTGCCTACCACCAGGCAGGCCTCCTTTTATCCCCCTGATCTTTCACCTCAAGATCTCACTTTCATTCTAGAATGACCCACTTGTAGCCTCTGTCTGTGCCATTGGTATGACATGATGTGACGTAACAGCCCCCCACCACTGTCACGTACTAGCGTATGAATGCCAAATGCTTTCTGACTGCTTCTCAGCATCATTTGCATTCCATCTTAGCCTAGTGTGATTTGAGTGTCCTTGCTCCAGCCTTTTTTTTTTTACCAGGTACAACTGTACTTTTTCACACATTCCTCATTCATGCTGCCCCTTTCACAATTTTTATGTTTCTGTTTGCGTGGAACTTCTGAGATGCACTTATATTCTCCACAGAAAAAGAAAAATGGTGTTCAGTAAGTTTTTCATTTGAAGGAGCGATGGTAATTTATTTTTATTGAATGCTTTCAGACTTAAAAAGCACTTTGTGTACATTATTTCATATGTTCTGATTTGAGCCATTTGTCTGTTGGTGATTACTTTAATTTGAAACCAAGCCTCATTGTATTTTCTATTTTCTCCATTTCTCCTTCTCTCTCTCCTTCCTCTCCCTCCCTCCCTCCTTCCTTCCCTTTCTCTCTCTCTCTCTCTCTCTTTTGTTTTTTTTTTTTTTGGTAAGGAGTATGACTGGACAAACTACGAGCCGAGCCAGATGAGTGAATCTGAGCTGCAGATGCTGGCCAGCATGAGAAGGCAGCAGACTGAAGAACTGGGAGATATCGGGGCCTCTCATGGTCTGAGCGCGTCTCAGGTTGACAATTGTAATGTCAGCATCAGTAGCAGCAGTGACGATACCACCACCTGGAACTCCTGCCTTCCACCAGTGAGTCAAAACGTTCTTTCTCCATCTTTGTTCTGCAGTGCCCTAACTCAGAAAGTCAGAGCCAAAAGACCAGCTGGGTCCATGTTTCTCACTCTCTTATTCACCATCATTTCTTTATTGTTCAGAGGTATAGGGTATACTCAGTTGAGCAAGTTTTTATTAAGTGCCGACTGGAGACAAAATACAAGAAGGAACAATTCCTGCCCTCTGAGGGCTTACATTCTAGTGCGAGGAAACAGTTGGTCCACAATTAAGTAAATACAAGATGTATACAAGGGAATTCAGTGGTGGGAAGAGATTTCTTCCACTTGGGAGGCATCAAGAAAGGCCTCCTATAGGAAGTGTCGTTTGAGCTGAGCTTTGAAGGGACATGGCCAGATTCTAAGAGGCAGAGGTGAAGGGGGAGAGCAGGTAGGAGAAAAACCAGAGCGTAGTGCATAGAGAGCAGGAGGTAGGCCAGGCTGGTGGCTATACCAAAGGGTATGTGAGAGGAAATAATGTGAATCATCCTGGAAAGGTAAGCTGACTTCATGTGTGTCATCAGCATCAGATTGCTTGCAAGGAGGAGGGTAGGACAGGAGAGTGAGAATTTGGAGCTCAAAATTAATAATAAAATAATATTAATTAAATTAATTTTATTAATTAATCTATTAGTAATGAAATTGTTTAAATTAAAATAAAAATTAAAAGTAATAAATAATAAAACATGTTTTACATGTAATTGGAAAATATTTAAAGCTAAGCTAGAGACAGTTGTAGAGAGCTTTAATATTGTACATAGTTTTAAAACTATGTACAGGGGATTTACAGTATTAAAAATGCAAGACGTGAACCTGCCCTCAAAGAACTTACAGTCTGGTTGGAGAGACAGGCAGTAGACACATTGTTACGATCTAGGGGTGCCATGAACCCCAAAATGCAAGGGCAAAGGGCACGGATCTGCCTTGAAAGAATTTGGCCAATCAAGCCTTCTTTCAGTCAGAGACAAGGTTTATTATGTTGCCAGTAGAAGGGTGGGATTTTAAGAATCAAGGCATTTGGTAGGGAAAAGGCTGACTTTTTTTATAGGGAAAAAGATTGTGGGAAGATTTGGATGGGATCAGGGGGACACTAATAACCTGAGATGACCTGGAGGTAACAGACAATGAAAGGCTGGGCTGAGTCAGAAGTAACAGAATTGAAGGTTGGGGCTGGGTCAGAGCCACCATGAAAGGACAGTTGAAAGGATTATTGAGTATCTAGGTGGGGCTGTGTGGGAAGGGTCAGGAGCTGGATTGTGGCTTTTGGGGTCCAGGTCCCATACCCCATCATTATGACATATTAAATAATCATTCAGAAAATAGCTCTCAGTTCCCTACAGCAGCTCAAGAGCTGACCCAGGCCAGAATGGGATTGATCACCAAATGCCTAGAGCAGGCAGAGAGGGCTCTTGGCTTTCAGAGGAGGGAGACAGGGCTAGAATAGGTTGAGGAGATCTCAAAAGTGGAAGGCTTGGAGGATTGGAGGTGAAGTGAAGACTGTACTCCTTCACTGGGTTTTCTGGCTTTGCCATGGTAGTGTTCCCTTATGTTAGTTGTGCTGTCATTAGAGGAGAAAGGTTCGGACTCTTGCTGCCTCAAGCAGACTTGTATTCCACTGAATAGTCATGCACTGAACCAGGATATGGAAATTGGGGCTGGAGCAGCGAGTAACAAAGGCAACTCCTGAGAGTTGCATATATAATTGAACAACAGAATTGAAGTTTTGCCTTATAAAAGCATTGCACAAAAGCAATTTAAGCCACAAGAAAGAAAACTGTGGACTCTGATAAACTGTCTTTGTAGAGCAGCTCAGAGAATGACAATATAAAGGAGGAGCTAAAGGCAGGATTCCTTATGCCCTGGAAGAGCCAGACTGCTTGTTGCCTTGGATACTGTTCTGTGGCAGGCTGGGAGCGAGGGAGGGCCAGCCGCATGAGTGCCTTCCTCTCCCTGGTGCTGCTGCTGTTGTTTCTAATCACATGTATGTCTTTTGGATAGAATGAGAAGACTGAAAATAGTCCATTGTTATACAAAGAAGAAAATTTAAGGCCTTACCTTTCATCTCAGAAGGTACATTTGTCATTGCATCAAATTCAGAGTCTTTGGAAATCAGGTCTGTGTGGTCTAGAATGCAAAAATGCAGTAGCAAGCTCCGCATCTTGTTCTTTGTGTAAGGCCCAAGTACAGCGATTGGTAGATACGGCCCAAACTTCACTAAGAGAGTCACAGTGGAGGAGCAGTGGAAGGGGAGTCCTCTGAGCACTCATCTCTAGTCAGGGCAGTGACATCGCAAGGGGTAATGAGATAGTGTCTATAATTGCTTTGAGTAGTGAAGGACAGTAACCCAGTAATTACATTTGTAACATTAAGTCCTCTAGAGAAAAGGAAGAACAGGCATCATAGGAATTCTTGTCATCTAGTCATGGGCATTTCTGGGTGGTTTGGTTTTTTTCCTTTGTCTGGCCCTGTGACTTCATTGGTGTACAGACCTCCTAATGCAGAAGATCCGGCTGCTGAGGCAGCAGGGCCGCTCCTCCACAACTTCTCATCTTCTAGAGTTGCCTGAGCCCCTGAGTGGTCCAGTGACTTGCCCAGGGTCCTACAGGCATTATAGGTCAGAGGCAGGACTTGAATCTAGGTCTCCCTCACTCCCGGGGCTGCCCTCTGTCCATACTCTTCCACACTGTGCGCTTCAAAAATAACACTGCAGCCATATTTCAGAGTCAGTCCATGAGCACTTATCAGGCACTCCGAGAGTGTGCACTTGTCTTCTCATTGTGGTTGTGGTTTTCCCCCACACTGCTCAGATTCCAAACAGCTTCGATACACTCCCAGAATAAAGATCAAACTCTTTAGAGGGTCCGGTGATCTGCAGAGAAGCAGTGACTTGGGCAGGTCAAGCTTGGCTTATTGTATTTCCCGTAATGACTTCACACATTCTAGTCTGAAAATGGAAAACCCCACATGAAATAAAACACTTCCTCTCTTCCAGAGTCTACAGCATCTGCAAAACTTGGGCTTCCCAGCTTCCCATGTGATTCAATTAAATGTTTACAAAACGGCTGCTCTGTGCAAGGCACAGGACTAGCCCTTGTTGGTTCAAAGACTGAAGTGATACAGTACTCCTTCTCAGGAAGTTCATGAGCTCTGGGGACAAGACCTGCATACAGAGGTCCCGGAAAGGCGCTATGAACAACTTGAATAGGTAGAGATGGAGGAGATGTCACCTAAGTTGGGCCTTGAATGAGGGACTTCGGTGGAAATTGGAAGGAATGAGTCCATTCCAAAGATAGAAGATGACTCATAACAAAGGAAGTCCCAGAAAGAGATGGAGAAATGCCCTGTTTTCATTATTAACAGTATAATGTAGAGTAATATGTATAAATTAAAGTGTGTTTAGATACACTTGTAAATTTCTCAATTAGTATAATTAATGTAGTCATTATTCTTGTTGCAAATTGTCTTTTGTGGGCATCTCTAAGTACATCAAGTCCCCTGGGAAACCCGTTAGACTTTGATAGACAAATTTTTCAGCATTTCAACTTGTAAGGAAATTCAATTAAAATAATACTTTACAACTTCTGTGAAAATCAGGTTTCAAGTAATCAGTTTTGTTCAGTTTCTGTTCAGTGGTACTCATGACAGCCTGGGGAAAGGAGTAGTGAGGGAGTTCTAATGGATTTTTAAATGGATTCAGAATTTTGAGCAATTTTGATTGACATCAGTAGAAAACTCAAACCCTGTTAACTCATAAAGTTTTTTTAAAGAGCAATTAAAGGACAAGATTTCTTTTAATAATCATTCTAACGTGATGGCTTGGGAATATCAGGAAGAAGTATAACTGAGCTTCCTTCCCTCCAACCCCAAGTCACAATATCTCAGAAAAGATTTAGAAAATGTACCAAACTGAGCCCTTATGGGGAAATCCAAGAAAAAAATCACAGTCTGTCATTTGTCAAGGCCAAATCCACATAGGGAGACAGGCAGAGAAGTCTGTGTAGCCTGAAGATGGCGGGGTCTGGCCAGACATGCCCGATGGAGTGTGCCACCACAGGGAGAAGCAGTGCTTCGAGGAGAAAAGAGGCTACAAATGCATCCAAGAGGAGCCCAGCCTTATATAGGTGGTAGCAACAGATGCCAACCTGCAGCTCCTTTGTGCACTCCCTAGTTCTGGATCACAGCTCCAAGGCTGACTGAGGAGGGAGCCTGTGCCCATGAGTAGCAGTCCAGAGTGCACAGTGATCATGAGCCCTGGGCTGCGGACCAAGTGAGGAGCAAGTTCAGAAGCTTTATGGTTGTGACCCCAGGAGCAGAGCATGATTTCCAGTCAGTTTCCAGTCCAGTCTGAAGCCTGCGATAGAATAGCAAGGACAGGAATCCCAAACCACAGGGAGCCTCGAGTTCTGTCGTTCTGAACCCCTGCCGACGTGTTACAGCGACTCCTCTGCAATTTGTAATCTTTGAGAGCGTCTCAGTGACTTACCCAGGGTCACACATACCATATGTGTTGGGATCAGGACCTGAATCCAAGTTTCAAGGACAAATAGCTGCCTGATAGTGACTGAGTCCAGCAACAGTCCACTGGAACTCCAACCAGGAGAACCCCAGAGGCATGTTGCTCAGACCCAGACCCAGGCCTTACAGAGCTCAGATGGGGAGTGGGAAGAAGATAGAAGAGAAGGGTGTACAGTGATCAGACTGTGCCCTAGATTGTGCCATTTTTTTTAAGGCAATTGGGGTTACGTGACTTGCCCAGGGTCACGCAGCTAGTGAGTGTCAAGTGTTTGGTCTGAGGCTGGATTTGAACTCAGGTCCTCCTGACTTCAGGGCCAGTGCTCTATCCACTGCACCACCTAGCTGCCCCTCCCTAGATTGTACCATTTTGAGAGCACTGAAAATTTGCAGGTCCCCAGACTGAGCTGTCTCTGAGATCCTGGATTTACACTGTACTCCAATAAAGTAGCAGTAAGACCCTCCCAA